ATGCGGCGTGTTCCGAGACTGTCAGCCTCGTGGTGAGTTACAACGATTTTTAAAAAAAAAGTTCGTTATAGAATCTACTCACAACGCTCTTCTGAAGAAATGCTCGGTCCATCATCGGTAAAAGCCTGTCTGGCGCGTGTCGAAGCTGAAATCACTTTCCTGACCCAGAAGCTTGACACGCTGACCGCTGAACGTGATGAACTGCGACACTCCGAGACCGATGCGTTGATTCAAAGTTGCCGACTTGACTGGCATTTGCACTCCTGCAATCTGTAGGCTTCCAACCGAGCTGCTTCAAGATATCTTCTTTCGTTGTTTGCGGAAGCACCCTGTGATGGATGCTGCAGAGGCACCTCTGCTACTCGGGAGGGTCTGTAGGACCTGGCGCACTATATCATTACAGACTCTCCCGAATTATGGGCGTCTTTACATCTCGTGATTCCCCGGTCAATCCCTTATATCCCGATTCGCACCCTGAGCTGTACGAACAGATGCGCACGGGCTTCGAATACTGGCTGGAGCACCTGGGTAATCTCCCCTTGAATCTATCCCTCCACTCTGAAGAACGACGGGAAGACGAATCCGAGATGTTGTACTATCAGCTTGAATGGGTGGGTATTCGAGAAAGCTCGGGCTCGATGGAGACATCTCGCAGTTTACGTTCCTTCGTTTTCGCTGGGCGTACTCTTCGATCTCCCGGCTGATCAGCTATATGATCTTCTCGAGTTGGGCACATCTAACTATCATACTCCGTTTCAGTTTGAGCACATCGAGTTTCCTTTTCTTTCCAAGACGACTACCCCAAACCTCCGTACGGTTTCCTTCCACTTGTTTCTCGCCTGACCTGCGGAGAGGCGCCTTCCCTCAGCTCCTCGCTAATATCACGAGTCTTACTCTTCAAGGATGGGTGCGTCCAGCTGAAGTTTTGTAAGGTTTCGACCTATCGGGATTTAGGTCCGGTGATTAGAGGTCTTGAGGGTGTGGAGGTTGATAAGCTGTCGATGTTTGCGAACCAGAAGTGGTCGGGGAGGCAATGGTTTGATTGAAATGAAGGATGTGAAATAGTGACTACTGCTGGATCGTTTTATGTTGATCTCTCTTGTAGCAAGGTACACGGTACAGTGGTCATCGGTATAACTAACTTTTGTAGTTGGGCTTGGTGGACCGGCTCTACGGCACGATGACTTGGCTCGGCACGACTTGAAGCCGTTGATTTGTCAGTAACTCGGCATAAATCATGCCGTTGGCTTGTATTAATATTTAGCGGTATATTGACTCCAGGTCACCTTGGCTTTTACTTTTATGGACTTGCGAGTCATCGGAATACTGATATAAACATGGCTGCGAGACTATCGGTGACTTGCCGGCAACTAAATGTGGTCAGACATGTAACGGCTCGGAACATGCTTTTTACTATCACCACCGTCGACTGGGCCACTTGGCTCTTCCAGCCAAATTCCCGAGCTATCCAGGTTCTTTATTCCAGGTCTTGCTCGGAGATATTTTCCGGGCACTCTGAACGGAAACACGGCATGGCGAGAGATTATTCCGGTGTTTTACCGACGGTAACCGTTTTGCCGTGTTCATAATTAGTAGACGCTTGCGAGTGCGTGTATTCATCTTCGACGCAGATGTTTTTTTTAAAAAATTGCTTCAAAGTGCTCAAACTCGAGTTTTCACACTTTTATCATTGACGGCTAGTCTTACGTTGTCAGGTGGCTAATCGTCGCCTCCCTGAATCTCATACCCCGGCCCGTTCTGCGGCCTTCGGTCTTGAACCCAACGCGTGTACCGAAAGGTTTACCTCCAAGTCTGTCAGATTTTCTCATGATAACCCGATTGATATCAGGCGTCCTGAATGTACACCTCAACTAGAGTAATCTATGATTCATATATCTCGGCACCGCACCCGTTCGTGTTTCGTTGACGTCATTTGCTCCCGTAAACTGGACACGGGTCTAAAAGTATTCCATTGTCTGTCCAATACCATGTCCTCTTTCATCTTTCTTCACTCGCATTATCCGCATGTTTTGATGAGATTGCGATGAGCAATGAGAGGATCAGATCGAGCTTATTTTCACCGGGCCGGCAGGTAACCTGCTATACGTCCTCTGACCCCTCTTTCTCCTATGCTACTATTTAGGGCGGGTCGTCTGTTGATGCCGCTGTGCCTGTCATTCTTCCCTTCGGCTTCAACATTCACAAACGACGAACGCCGCGCGTCATTACCCTTCCCCATAAATTAAAATTTCATTACATCATGTCAATAATATGACGTCAATACCGACGCTTCTTTTCTTAGTGACATCAAGGGTTCGTTTAAACTCGCTTTTGAACAGTCCGCCCCGTCATTTGGGTGCTTTCAAATGTTTCTAGGAAATATTCCTGTGTTGTGTATTTCTCAAATAATTTCCGAAAGCGTGCGAAATTCGAGCGAAAAAAAAGGGGGCAAGAAATTGAGACGATCCACTGACGTCATATATTCTCGTGGGAGAATGACGTAGCCCCTCACGACCGGGCAAAAAACAGGTCAATTTGAATTTTCCTTTCTTATCCATCATCCCCCATCACCTGTTACTCCACACCGTCTGCCTCGTACTTGGCTCCTCGTACTTGACTTGCATTCACACTCGAACCGAGCTCCAAATTCCAGCCAACCAAGTCCAGAAACTCTGCGAAAATGGGCGGAGACCACAAATGCCCCGTTTGCCAAGCGACGTTCACCAGACCGCAGCATGTCGCGCGCCATATGCGTTCGCGTGAGTCTTTTCAGCTCCACTTTGTTTGATTTTGTGGTGCTCACTATCCTACCCTTGACTTTCTACACCGTACTCGACGCTCTCTCCACCACCTCTTCACCTCTTCGCTACGGATCCCTCGGATATTTGAATTACGGCTACTTAGATACTGGCGACCGACCATACAAGTGTACTCACTGTGGCGACCAGTTTGCTCGGAGGTATTAATTCATCCGCTCTAATTTTCCGTGATTGCTGGCTGAGGAGTTTCCTAGCGACCTCCTCTCACGACACATTAATAAATGTCACGCTTCTGCGTCCACGACGACCAGCGAGAAAGGCAACGGGCGACGGAAAGCCTCGGCTACGCGTGCAACGACCAGCAAACAAGCATGCGACCAATGCGTGCAAGGCAGTCTGCCCTGCGATGGGTGTAACCCATGTTGTGAGTTTTCTTTTCATTAATTCTGTCGTGGCTTGACATTTCATTGGAGTTGGCTCCGTATGAGTTACTCGTGATGAAATTGTCAAGCCTAGGCGTTACTTCAATCCAAACTTGTGCTGATCAATAACCCCGTAGCTAAATGCGTACAACGAAAATGTCGTTGTACATTCGTCAAATTTCACCGACAGACAGCGCCTGTTGGCCCAGGACATAATACCCATCCTTCAACTCATATACCAGTCACTGCACAGCGATCTTTAATTCCTCCATCTGTGTCTATGTCTTTCCCAAGTCAGCAGCAGTTTTCTTTCCCACCACCCCAAATGTATCCATCCAACCTCGACGCCTACCAATCCCAGTATCGCGATCTCATGCATACCCAGACGCAGCAGGCTAGCCCAGAAATGTACCACCCGACTCCGACATGGATGAACTATGGCGAGCCTTCGCTTAATGACGGAGGCTCGGGTCTCACGAGAGCTCATTCGCTGGAACATCATCATAACCACAACTCCCACTCTGATCACCACTCAAACCAAATCTATGGTGGTAGCGCCGGCTGGGCGAGGAGAGATTCTTTTTCAGAGAGTGGAGGTAGTAGCGCCGCAAGTAGCAGCGTCCACTTGCCCCTTTACGAGAACGTTGATCCTTCAACAGCAGCGGCGGCAGCAGCAGCAGCGGCAGATGCACGGCTAGAAGCTTTCGGGCTGATGAGCCTTGAAGAGCCGAACGCCCTCTACGATGGAGCCGCCCCGTTCTTTGACGGTATTTTCCCATCGTCATCGGCGCAAACAACGACCACGGGAAACCATGTACCTGTGTCCAGCATGATGCAGATTCCAACTCCCCGCGAAGCAGAGACTAGGGAACTTCGTGAGTTTTGGAAGGAGTACATGCGCAGCACGCCCTTAATTCCTCCAGCTAACCACGCCCATTCGGCATCTCCGTCGCATCCGGTAATAAGCCCGCCGAACGGCCGGAAGCGCGTTTCGAGCTTGCCGAGCGTGAAGACCCCTACGGAGAGTATAGTCGGTGGCGGCGAAGGGAAAGGCGGCTTCGAGGATGCTGTCATGGCTCGGAAAACGTTGGGAAATCTGAGCATGGGAGGTATCCAAGGCATCAAGGGTAGACGAATGACGCACTTGAATCCTCCGTCGTCGATTCCTCAACCCCGTCAGCCGCCTATAAACCATAATCCCGCTTACGGTTTCTCTCTCGCTGGAGCCATGGGAGAGGGGGAGAGACCGAGCTTCAAGCGCCTCCCTAGCCAGGTTCTGGAACCGCTCGGAGGGTCAAAGCGGGTGAGAGGCGATGGATGTGATGTTGCTGACGACCTGAACGGTATGGTCAAGGTGGAGAGTGGTAAATGACTATATGAACACTACGCTGCGGATTTTCGTTGATCGATTGCGCGTTAGACGAGCCGGGAGTTGTATATACCCAGCTTCCCCTTTTTTTCGTTTTTTCTTCTTCTTTCTTTCTCTGCTTTGAGACATTTATGTTAGATACCAGTCGTTTTGTCAAAATATCCAAGATTGAATCTTCTTATATTTATGTAATGGCAGTGGAAGGTCGCGATTAAGAGGAGTGACAGGGATGACGATGGTATGTCGATATGGACACGAACTAATGGAAATATATGAGAGGTCAAGTAAAGGAAAGGCTCGTTTTAACGCAAGGGCGTGATAAAAGTAGCCTTTTTTTTAACAACGACCGACGCTAGCAAGAAATGGTAAAGGATCCTCAGTTCGATTTATCATTTATTGGAAACATAATTTACAAACACAACGAAGAAAATACTCTCGGAGTCACATACTCTCTCTGGCTGGGAGTCGAACCCAGCTTTCGCGCGAACACTTTTCGGGATCAAGGACCATGACAGGCGCGTGTACTAACCGATATACTACCAGAGAGATATGAATATTTATTTATGGAAAGTAGTCTAGCAGCCCTTTATCCAAGCTTACCGGGTATCCATACTCTGTGAAATCAATCCTTCACCGTTCCGGAAATCTCCCGCTCTATCCTCGCCTTTCCTCCTGCGTGGTCACGGTTCTTGGCCCTCCTTCCCATATCGCCTTCTCGACTTCAGAGCTACCATGCCTTGTTGGGACTTTTTCACAGGGATTCCTTCTGCTCCTCCAGCGAGCTAATCTGCTACTATATGCGACCATTGAGGAACCATCTGTGTGGTAACTCACTTCAGCAGCGTGATAAATATCCAGAATGATCCCGTTCGGATGCTTTCGCTGAAGCTGGCGCTCCGGAAGTGCTAAATGCTATTACTGCACCAGCTCTGGGCTACCTATCAGTGCACGGTAGCATTCCTAGAGTAAGGGGATCATCTCTCTGTGCCTCACGGGAAGTAGCTCTCTGATTCACCCATAACTAGGACTTACACCGTTTAATAAGTCCACCACGATTCGTTGCGTCCAAAGCAAAAGAGGAGGAGAATGAGGAAGGTCGGAGGCTATCAGGATGATAGGGTCGTCGGTATCCAAGTGGCGCCGGGTAGTGTGAGTGACAACGGGATGAAAAATGTCTTCATGAAGGGATTCGTACGAGGGAAATGCGTTCCTCCAGATCGTCAGCTTCTCCAGCCAGCAGGATACCGCGAGTATGCATTGTAGAAACGCGAACACCTGAAGCTCGTATGCGAGTAACTCAGTGAGGTGTTCAAATATTGGAAAAATGACTGGACCACCCATAATGGATAGATTTGGGCAGTATACCGGGTCGGATAGAGCATCACGTATATGATTATCAGAAAGGAAGACACACATCTCCTCAAGGGTATCTAGATGGTATGACAGCGTGTTGAGGGCGTTCAGAAAGCTGGAGTGGAATTCAAATGTGACGGAACGCCAGCGGGGGGAGATGTACAGGAATGTTTGGAACATCGCGAGGAACGGCGAAGAGGTATCGGACACGTCCTGTATTTTTCCCTCGGATTTCTAGTATACATCGAGTAGGTGTATGCCCGTGCGGCTGATCGCTAACTCCAGGAGTTGTGGGTCGAAGGAATTGTTGGGGGAAGCATAGACGATGAAGGTGGACCAGAGACTGGAGCAGTATTGTGCGACGGCCCTCCATTTCTTGTTCACAAACGTCAAGACCCAGGGTGGCGAGTCGAGTCTCTTAACGATGTATGGGACTGATGATGCCTCTTTAAAGATATCCAAGAGGAGCTCAGGGGCAAGGGATTCGATTGGAGAGAATGTGGGAGAAGAATTGCGATCTGTCGTGAGGACGACACTTTCCGAGGCACTGGCTGGAATTTCTGTTATAGCTATTCTAGAGAATATTGGATTATTTGAGTATTTGAATGATACCACAACAACGTACATGATTTTAAGCATAGCACAACTAGATGCTGGGAGACACAAGATAGAAATACCCTGAATACAATCAGGCAAGCGAGTTTGTGTTATTCACAATCCTGTACGGATAGAAACCTTTTGTGTGAATTTCGTAATAACTAGTACCAACTCGACGGCTCTATACAGGGGAGGAGGGAAGGGCAGAATGAGTGACAATGGTTGCGACCTGAGGGTATTTAAGTGTTTGAGAAGGATCGCGGATATTATCAAGAATGACCCTTGTTAATGGCGAATCAAGTCAGGTGAGATGGGATCAGATTAGCAGAGAGAAGGACTTCGATATTGTTTACTTGCCGTCAAATTGCTAGGTGACCAAAAAAAGGTTAAAGCTGTTTTGAGGATATGAAATGTGCCAGAAAAACATGTTTATGCCATCTTTTGGATATGGAGATACATTAACCCTATTATGACATTAGTTCCGTGCCACTAGATAGAGTAAGTAGCTGTCTGATAACCTACATATTCACAAGAATTCTACAGATCCATTTCCAATGATTTAGAGATGGTCTGGAGACACCATCTTGATAATAAGCTTTCCACTGTTCCATTTGATACTAAATTCTTGAAAGGTATAATGGACAGTCCCATTTAAGGTTGCCGAGCTGTCTCAGGTAGGTTTTCATTTTGCATAACACAAATCGGCTCTAAGGCATGCTCCATCCCATGTTATAGACCTATTTTTAGCACTGCCTCCAGTATGGCAATGATATTGGAGTACTTTAATAGCTGTACATACCACATTGAAGGTGGATAATACATGATTTAGCTATTATATAGTGTAAAGACCATTAGACCAATTGATGGTTCCCAGACCACTGTATAGAGCAGAGCCCAAGGAGTCAGGACAATTTAATCCTTCTTCAGTGCATATAACTTTCCTACAGCTCTCATAGACAGACACAGAATAAGGATTAGTTGATAGTGAAGGGTCATGATATTAGAACACATGTATTCCCCCAAAAATAAGGTGCATTTGTGCAGTACACTGTAACAATAGGAGAAGTACAAGGGATGCTGTTTCCTTTCAAGTGCTTAGCCATAGTTTTAATAATTAGATTTTGTGACACAGTATCTGGCTTCATGATAATTTAGAAATTATCATCACTTAAATCTGATGTTCTCCCTAAATTCTATCATTCCATCAGAAGTAGTACACTTAAGGAGACAAAAGTATACCTGCTCAAAATTACCTTACATACACATCAGCCAGTGTATTTTTTCTCTGGAATAATGATATGCAGTGCCTTCTCCATATATTGCCAACTTGGATTTCAAGCTGACAGTATATGCCACTGTCAATGAGTCATACTCTCATAGTCTGAGACCTTTGCACTTCAGACTCAAAAGTTTTAATGGAGTTTGTTCACTCTCTGATATCATACAAGAGTACTGGTGGAATATGACATTGATCTAGCAGCCACAAGGAGTCAGTATTGATTTTTGTGGGTTAGTTTTATATTTTTGTTATTGCTTTTAACCTTTTTTTGGTGGATAAATACCTAACACTAATCTCATATCAATACTCATTGTTTCCTGACCCTATCAGGCCTGGATATTGAACACCATAATATGGTGTATTCTCAATGCCAATTAAACTTTATTATATAAAAGCTCTTACAGGAAAAATATGAAAGTCCCACCATTATGGGGTTTTGTGTGGGAAGAAAACATATTTATGACAGTGGATACTATGTAAAGAATGTTTTCTACAATAAAATATGCTCATTTCAGCCTAGAAACTATAAAAGATCTATTTTTATCACCAGGATGGAGGCACACTTTTGAGCTAAATAGACTAAAATGCAAAATGCAAAATGAAAACCTGCCTGAGACAGCTTGGCAACCCTACATGCCTATCAGTGATTGATGTTTGAATGTGGCCCTCAATGCACATATAGCTGGTTATGAGATGAGCCCTTATAAATCAGACTAAAAAAGAATATCTGAGAATCATCAGGTGGCCTGAAAAACCAAATTAGGCTCACAGTAAAAAGAGAAGATAAGAGATCTCTAGTATATATTTGCCATCCTAGCCTTCTAGATTGATCCTAGGATAGTATGGACAACAGCAGTTGTATGTAAATGCTGCATCCCCCTAAAGCTCTCCAAGATAAACAATGGGTCCTACAGGCATGGAATAATTAAAAAACTGTCTCAAAAGTAATCTGAGCAGGAAAAATGCGCTCAACATAATATGCTCACCTGGCATACACTCTTGAAAATCACATGTAAAAATTATTTTATTACTACAATAAAATAACTACATGGTTACAGTAGGCAACAATAAGTAAGCAAGTATAATGAATATAAGAAATTTCCACCAGGGGACTTGAAACAAGATGATCTGTAGCTGAGATAGAAGATCAGGTATTCTACCTGATAGGCTGAAGGTCCACATTGCAAGATCAGGCTTAGCATTATAGTAGGTATGGCTACCTAATCTCAGAAGTTAAAAGAAGAAATGATTGATTGACCTGGTAGTCAGAATATGGGCTCATACTCACCTAGCTCAGTCAGAAAATTATATTAGTAACTAGAGAGGATTGAAAATCATAGACAAGTAGAATAATATAAAAACTGTCCATGTAATGAGCAGGGGTTCAGGTTTTTGGCTCTCTGGAACACTTACAAGCAAGTAGTATGAGTTTGTGGCTGAAAGCTTCAAGCTGAGTCTTAGACTCACCTGGAATAGTATTTAGTGACCTGGTCACTCCTTATGTGATATAACAAGTAAAACTGCAACTAGGCAGACAGTATTACTTCAGAAACTGCACTAGGCAGTCTGTTAGTATCTGTCAGATTGTGTTCAGAAACACATAGCATCTTAGATTTGTCTCACATGTAATATACAATCATACAACCTTGTTTTATTGCTACCTGAAATGAACTAAATACTGTACAAACTTTGAAGCCAGGTTTATGTAAATCTCTTTGAACTGCCATTTACTGAGTTGTGTTTGAGGTTGTGTGTGTTCAGTTCATGCTTCACTTATATGGAGTCAGCACCTTTGACAATGTTGTTCAAAGTCACAGCAGAATATGAGAAGAAGAGAACTTTCAGTTATCAGAGTTTGAGATTACCAATGAATCTGCACTGTCACAAAAAATGTGTAATGAATCAGAAATGCTGCTGGGTATATCCAGGTCAGCTGCATCTCTAAAGTTCTTCTAGAAATCATGTCTTGTCCTCCACCATCCAAGTCCAAGATTTTACAATAAATCTTATGTTTGAATCCTAGGTGTTACACAGGGTAGACTCCAGGCTAGTAAAGCCAGATGTAAAGAAGTTATTATTCTATGGCTCCTACAGAGCTCATATTTATACTACTTCACACTACAACTTTCTACTCCTCTCATGCTTACTCATTGACTCTCAGCATGATGCTGGATTGCTCCTTCTAGAACCTTCCAGCAAAATCCCAACATCTTACATTACAGTACGCATTTTTATCAATTACAAAATGCATGAATCTCAAGAAGACTTGGACCTGTCCACCTCTTGTTTCACATTCTGGATCTGGACCTTCGGGTTC